GTGGATTCTAGATGATTGCTTAGGAAATCCTGTTTGGGCAGTCAGCTTGCTGATCCGTACTGGTGGATTCCATACGAGCGGTAAAGTTGGACAGGTAAAATTGACCCAAGTGTGATTAATTTCATGGCGCAAGGTGGGGCGTTTGTAGTTCAGTGGTTAGAGCGTTGGCTTCCGGTAAAGGCCTTCTCTACTCTGCGGATTCGAAATCCCAACCGGCGGTGAAGGCCTTCTCTAATACGCAGGTTAAAATCCCGCCTAACGCCTCGACTTTTTTCACAATTGGGTCAACTCAAATTAAGCAAATCTGCCAAACCTCCTAATCATTTTAGGCTTGTTGGTCAGCATCAGCTAGCAACACCTGAGATTCGGCGACGCGACCTGTGAGTTACAAGTTCAACCGGCATCTCAGGGTACCTAACTATAAGGAGACAATTTTTTTCAGAGAAAATATAAATGTCGCGGTGTAAATTTTCGAGGCTCGGTTGTGTATTAAGAGAAAGAAAGCAATCCTCCATCTAATGAAGGTCATACGAGGCACAGAAAGGGACATTCAAAATTCAAGTTTTCAGTTAAGGTTTGAAGAGATGCTGCAGTCAGTTTTGGTAGAAATCGTTCATTTACACAGTAATGGATGCGAACCTAGATCCACTCATGATTCCTAGGGAAGCGAAATAGCAATGTGCTTGCATTGTGCCAGAACAAAAATAAAACAATGGTCAGACCCGGATTCGTAAAATTAAATTGGAAATCACTCCATTTCTACCATTCAGGACATCTTCGAAACGCTTCAAAACCTACCTAGAGAGGCCAAACTGAAGGCTTTCGAGGCGGACGCAGCGACACCACTAGCAGTCGATGTGGATGAACTAGTCAGGCCGGGGATCGCATGACAGAGGACCTTTTCAGTGTACTCTGAGAGGTACTTCCGTAGGAGATTGGACAGACCAACAAGTCCTTTTCCTCTGTTCAGCTGAAGTGTCTGCTTAAAAAGCTGCTTGTAGAGAAGGAAGAGGTCTGTCGCAGAATAGAGTGTGTTCTCAGCCATGTCTCCGGAACCGGCAGCACCGCCTAAAAGAGAACCACATTATTTTGATTAAACCACGGTTTAATCAAAATTTCTTAACCAGGAGGCACCACACTGAACAATACCCGCGCAAGCACAACGAAAACGTGACGGACTGTGATTAAACATGTCGCTGAGATTACAAGAACCTGGCTACTTATGTATAGAAAGTAGCTCTTTCTGTGAAGATACCGATTCGAACTACCGAGCATGCAAACGGGACGAAATGTGGTGGGAGATGGCAGACAAGTACAGACCTCCAGAATTAGCCGGGGCACCATCGCGCAGAACCTCGCCGAATTCGTGAGTGCTGAGACTGGACTTGTTCACTGACATATCTCCCACAAGACGCGAGACAAGCTGGTCGTGAAGAGCGCGTTCGACATAGTTCAGGTACAAATCAAAGTAGGGATCGAAACACCTGAGAAACAAAAATAAACGTCAACCATTGCTGTTACTTCGTTTTGGCAAGTGCCGAATAAATCGACCCGAGTCCACGAATAGACGAAAAAAGACCAGAGGTCTGGGGATTTAATGATGAATAATTTCGCAGTTAAAATAAACGCGAGTCTAGGGAAGACTGGCTAGGTATCAAAAGCATAAACAGAGGATAGTAAGACAGAGTACACAACCTTGAAA